ATGCACACTCGATAATGCTTAGTTTTCAGCTGGGTTTGGAGGACAAAATAGGAGGCACAAGAAACTTCATCATATAAAAACCTATATGACTGCATGCATTACACACAAATGTACAATGTCATGTAAGACAGCACAGGACGGCAGAAGGAATACTCACATTTAGAATGTAGTGTTCCTGACTTTTGGGTGGAATTTTTGCTGCAGGTGGCAAAGAAATGTAAACCTGGTTAATACAGTGTTTAGAAAACATACTAGATCAAACTAGCTCAAAGCATAAAAGAATAAAGCAGAATAATGTGGTACTAAACTTACCATTTATGACATCTATGTTCCTACTGTTGGTCTGTATTCTGTGCAGGATATATTCTGACGTCTCCTCAAACATTTTCCTCACATCTCCCTTTGAAAAAAAGAAATCAGACAAATGATAGATGTTAATAGAGGTGTAGAGTATTAGGCAAGAGGTAGAGCATGTACATACAAGTATTAGTAATTATAAATATGTAGTAAGATACAATGCAGACCATTATATCACTGTAACTGTACAAAGAACTGCTTCATCACCATGACCTGTACTTAGCTTGTAAGAACATAAGCGTACAATAAAGGTCATTAATGCATTATAATAAGTATATTTAGCTGTACAACAGACAGACAGTCTTTTTTCTGAATGTAGTTGCCATTCATTTAGCTTAATGCAGTGGTTAATGCCATTCTATGCAATAGAACATTGCTGGTTGCTATGATATGGATAGCCGACTTTCTGACAGCACTTTTCAGGTTTGCATGCTTTAGAGTTAATCACCATAACCTTCACCATGTGTCATCATTTATTGTGCTAACATAGGTCACTTCCAAGTTTAGAAAAATTGAATCTCAAGGATTAAAAAACATTCACCAGCACTTTACGACAGAAATAAAGATAATCATGAAACAGTATCATGTTTTGGCCAATTTTATCATTTTTCCAGTGTATAGGGTAACTCATAAGCTTAGATATAAAGCTCTTTAAATGAGAAAACATTTCCAGTATTGAAAGTGACCAATGTTTAGTAACAGCTGTTTATCAGTGGTTGATGTGGATTCCAAGCCATGCAAGTGTCCCCACCACCATCTTGTGAAAATGTGATAACATAATGCCTTAGTCCCCACCAAGATGCATGTTTGTAATCAATGATTATCTATTTGTAGCTATATTGAAGTCTGTGCCATGCAAGTGTTGCCACCACCAAAAGTCACTTTCAAGTTTGGAAAGCTACTATAAGATTGAATCTCTGACAAAATTCCATAGGTATGATATTTCTATTACATACTATCATCACAACATTATGTTGTGAAGTTTATATGTCTCCAGTAAGTTGAATTTTTGAGGCTTGGAACCTAATTTTCATTTTTATGTTCCTGAAAATATACAGATCTTTTAAGTAGCATCTACTACCTGGTATTTTTTGTCAGTGACTGAAAATACAAGATTCCAAAATTGAAAGTGACCGTTGTTTATTAAGTAAGAACTCCCAGATTCCCAGCCATGCGAGTGTTGCCATCATCTCGTGATCATGCATCGGCGTGCAGCAGGCCATTGTGTGACAGACAGACGGGCGGACGGATGGATGGATGAACGGAAGGACGGACGCGTACCTGTATCTGGAGGGACTCACGCCAACCCACCTGGTCCGACCGAATCTTCTCGATGATCTCCGCGATCCGGGTGCAGATGTCGTCATCCGCAGTCGCAATGCACAGCATCGTACGCACTCCTGCAGATGGATGGAACATGTTGGAACAAGAATTCAGAAACCTTAGGCCTCCCTGATACCATGATGTTTTTAAGTCATGACTTTTTAGGAGGGGTTGACAAATCTGTCATAAAAAAAGGACTCCATTTGCCTCTAGTAGACAACAGCTGATGCAACAGAACCCATTAGAAATCCCCTTTCTTTATCATGCAAGGGAAAAACACCAACTGTCAATGAGGTCATGTAATGTAACACATGTGAAAACAGCAAGTGATATACTAGTCAGATCAAATCTCCCTCTGGGACAGACCATATCCATTACAACCTGACTTAAAGGCTGAGCGGAAACATAGACACAAACACGGACACACACACACTCACTAAAAATATTCAAGAAGCCTAATATAAGACACATTGACATGTACCTGGGTCCTTGTCTATGAACTCGTAGAAAGCAGGGACGATACAGAACAGCTGGACCACTTCTGAAGCCAGGAGACATCGGTACTCCTTGTACCTGAAAGGAATGGATAAGAACAAGACATCAGCATCTTACATTATACTACTACATGTATCTAACATCTAAGAGTGGAAATGTTACAAGACAGTATACTTGTAGTTAAATTATTGTGGTACTGTTATACAATTTTTTCATGTGATAATAAATAAGCTGTTGAGTTACCAGTAGTGTGCTCTAGAAAAAGAAAACAGAATTACGAATGTTTCTTGGGATGTTAGGCGACCACTAAGTAAAAAAAATGTTCCTTTTTCAAATGACTTACCGATTAATTTCATGGTCCAATCACCTGCAAATATGATGACTGTCACACAATTGATTGATTGATTGAATGATTGATTACTGAACTCACAGTGTGCCTTTCCTCCGGCTGTGTCTGCTGTCATTGGTCAGCGCTGACCCTCCGCGCTGTCTTACCCCATCCAGCTGTCCTCTTCTGATCAGCTCAGACACAGTATAGTACAGGCATAGGTACAGCTTATCATACAAACCACCCTCCTGTAGGGACATAGAGAACATAGCTCTGACACAGGGTACTGTAGTACAGGCACAGGTACAGCTTGTCATACAAACCACCCTCCTGTAGGCACATAGAGAACATAGATCAGCTCAGACACAGTGTAGTACAGGCACAGGTATAGCTTGTCATATAAACCACCTTCCTGTGGAGACATAATGGTACAGTCCATTTTTCGACAATCTTTCAACCAGAGGAACATAACATATCATTCATCTACAGGCACTGGAATACTTAGAACTGCAATAGACACAGCTTCTTTATGTTTGGACCAAACGAACTGAAATTTGGCTGGAAGGTATAGTGGGCAAATATCCTTTTTTTTTCAGTTTGTTGATGCAAGTTTTTAAATTGGTTTTCTTGAGGTTTTTGATGGATTTCACATACTTTGCATGCTTTGCATGTACAATGTTCTCTACAAGCATTTTGGTATAGGACAGTGAGAGCCAGTAAGCATGCAGCATTTCTACATGTGTATATGCATTTCTCTATGATTGTGTTATATCATGAGTCAGTTTTAACTTTAATGTGCTCAAGATTCAGGATGAAAACACTTTAAGGAACTGATTCCCCACCTCCTTGCTGTCCCTGTCCATCTTGACTGCGCTAAGGAGGATGGACACCACCCGACATCGGACGTCTCGAGGCAGGAGGAACATACTCATCGTCTCAAGGACTCTGGGAACAGAAAAATCAACAATCAATCAATCAATCAATCAATCAATCAATCAATCAATCAATCAATCAATCAATCAATTTACAAACTGTACTTTATACATCTCACATGAGAAGGAAAATTATTCAATTATTAGTCAATCAATCCATCCATCAATCAATCAATCAATCAATCAATCATTCAGTCAATTTCAAACTGTAACTTATACATTTTACATGAGAAGAAACATTATCCATTTATTAGTCAATCAATCAATCAATCAACCAATCAATCAATCAATCAATGATAAACCAATCAATCAACCGATCTTGCTCACGTTATACGTAGCAAAATTTTTTAATCACAACAATTCCTGACTCCTTCAAACTTGTCAGGAACCCCTAAATGAACAAGCCATTAACAAGGATAAGCCTGAAACAAGGATATTGATCCTAGACTACTTCTCTTGCAAGATGAGAGATATTCTTTCTACGTTGTTTGTTGGTTGGTTGTAGAGAGCTAGAAAGTTCCAAGGACTCACCCCAAGTAGTCCAGTTTGGCCACCTCTAGTGTCTCCTTCATCAGATAAGCTGGGATGGAGAACTCTAAAGAAGCCTGCAGGGGGAAAGCAAGGAACGAAAAAATGTTTGATAGAAGTTCACATTTGGGACCACATACTTCACACTAGTGGCAGTGCCAAGTATAACCAGTCAGAATTGCCCTATATGTTTATTGTTTCATTGTTTGCTTGCTTCATGTAACTGTAAAACATTACACACCAGTCTTGTACATGTACAAGTTGCGTAAGACTGGCCTGTGAGGTTTGATCCACTCACAGGTCTGTCCTTTGATTGCTGGTTGGTTGTAGGATGGCCTACCAAAGGAGCCTGTTAACAGTTCTACAAAACCCAATATCAAAATGCCCATCGGCTTGCAATTAGAGGCCTGCACAGAAGGCTAACTGACGCCTGTGCTGCAGTGCAATGTGAACCAGTCAGAATTGTCCTGAGGAAGGTGACAGACGGTCACCGAAACATCGGCTGAATAAACCACTTTGTCGTGTAAAAAAAGTCTTTGTACTCACATGACAGTGACTTACCAAACTGAAGAAAGATTTCATGAATGTGACTTAACTTAATTTCTTAAATTCAAACTTTGTAATCTATGGCTACCTATTGTCAACAACTCCACAGCCTTAAGTCAAGTGTTTGTTCAGTCTTCAGGTATTTGCTCAAGTGAGGTAGACCAAATGTTTACCAACTAATATCATGGTCCAATCACCTGCAAGTAAAGTAGCTACCCAGGAGCTAAAGTTCATCTAAGAAGGCTGAGCTTTTAAATTGACTAGTAACGGGTCAACGACTGAACGGGCTTCAGCCCTATATGTTTGTTTAATGGGACACTTCTTGGTATTTGCACTTCACAACTCATGATGTACAATGTTTACTGTCTAATAATGTGGCCCAATCACCTACGAGTAAATTATCTCACCAGGACTAAAGTTCATAAGTCACACAGGGCTGTGGGAGAACTTTAGTCACATTTGCAGCCACCTTCTGTATTTGGGACGGATTTTAGTAAATTCTACAGTAACTCTTGCTGTGGGCAGTAAAAGAGTTGTTTAATCATGGCAGCAGCAAGCAGCATTGCTGATGACTTTGACGACGAGTTTCTGACTTGCGCACTTTGTCTGGACTTGTACGAGGACCCAAAACTCCTGCCCTGTTTTCACACTTTGTGTAAGAGGTGTGTGGAAGGTTTCGCCAACATCAGTGGAGGGAGAGGCTTCCAGTGCCCTCTGTGCCGCGCCAATGTCAAGCTCCCGTGCCCAGTACAGTTAGGAGGTGTGGACAAACTTCCAAGCAACTTCTACGTCAACAAAATGCTGGACTTCAGGAGGCTGAAGCTAAGCAAGCTGTCTCACGTTCAGTGTCAGATGTGCAAGTCTGGCGCTCGGGCTTTGGCCGTGTGTGGGGACTGTACTCTGATGCTGTGTAACAACTGTGTCGGCGTGCACAGGAACACACCAGCGCTCCAAGGTCATGCCATCATCACCTTGGGTGACCTTGAGAATCCCGCCATGAGGTCACAGTACGCCCGACAGATCTACTGCCCAAGACACCCAGGCCAGCGAACAACCTTCTACTGCGAGCCCTGTGCAACCCTGGTCTGTAGAGACTGCACTGTAGACGAACACAGGCCAGGGCAAAAACACGATCCAAGAGAAGTGGAGAAGGTAGCTCCAAAGTACAGGGCTTCAGTAGAAGGCTTGATGAAGAAAACAGAAGAAGTTGTCTCTAAGATAAACCAGAAAGTAGCAAACCTTGACAAGGAACTCACAGCTACAGCAGAGAACTGTGAGCAGGTAGAGAAGGAGGTCCAGCAGCACTACAAAAAGCTGAGGTCCAAACTCAAACAAGAAGAGCAGAGGATGATCATCAAGATACAGAAGACTAACAAAGACAGGAAGGAAGAACTGATTCATGAGAAGAAAGAAATGGAGAAGGAACTGGAAGACACCAATGAAGGACTTGCCTTCTGTCAAAATATCTTAGATCGTGACAACAAGACAGAACTCTTGTCCTTAAGACAACAAATGGAAGAAAGACTAAAGCATTTTGCTTCAAGGCAAACAGGCAACAGGAGTTTCATAGGTCATGCAGAAGTGACCTTTAAACCCTCTAGTCTGTACCAGGTTTCTGGAGGTTCCTTGTCAGTGTCTACAGGCTTCACTATTGAGATAAATGTACAGGAGCCAGCAGTAGAGAGTCTGCCCTGCTCTGTCAGTGTCACAGTCACAACCAACAATGCAGATCTAACAGGTGGGAAAGTTGCACCACAGATAGAAGTGACCTCCCCCCAGGGTAAAACCACCCTCATACAAACAACAGCACACACTAGTCCCCCACTAGCTGCAGGGAAGGGACAAACCAGCAGAGTTAGCAGGGTCTGGGGTGCAGAGTGGAGACCTCAGCAGTCAGGCAAACACACACTGGGGGTCTGTATGGGGGGTAAGAAGGACCTTTGTTCTCTCACTGTAGATGTCTGCAGCAACAACCCCATACTCAGCTTTGGGCAGAGAGGTAGCCAGCAGGGGCAGTTTGACAGGCCTATAGATGTAGCAGTCAGGGGGGACAGGCTGTATGTGGCTGATACTTGGAACCAGCGTGTTCAGGTGTTTGATCTGATTGGTAAGTTTTGTCACTCATTTCCTACTGACGATCCTGAAGGACTTGCAGTTCAGACTGATGGCACCATAGTGGTTAAATCTGGGAAGGAAGTGAAGAAATTTTCCCCATCAGGAAAACTGCTGCACAAATTTCCTCTGGGTGAATATTGCGCATACCCCTATGGGCTGACAGTACAGAGGGATGGGAGGGTTGTTGTAGCTGATCCAGACAAACACAGCATCTTCCTGTTTGAGGCAGATGGGACACTGGTGAAACAGGTGGGAGGGCAGGGGGAGGGGGAGGGGCAGTTTAATGAGCCATGTTTTGTCTGTGTGCATAAAGAAGACAACATCATTGTGGCAGATAAACTCAACCACCGTGTTCAGGCGTTTGACAGGAATCTGAACTACAAACACAAGTTTGGTCAGTATGGCAGTCAGCCACAGGACATGTTTGGTCCTCATGGGGTGTCAGCTGACAGCAGGGGGAACATAGTTCTGGCAAATAGAGGAGACAACTCTGATGTAGGTGGTATAGAACATGGCAGGAAGCTTCAGGTGTTCCGCCCAGACGGCACCTGGGTGTCCACCATTAGCAGTGATGGGGACAAACTGAACCTTCCCCACGGGGTGGCTGTGACAGAGGATGGACATGTGTTTGTATCTGATACTGGTGACCACTGTATCAGGAAGTACAGATACATGTAACAGTGCAGAACATCTCATTTACAAGATCAGGTTGTTTCTTATTACATTTGTACTACTAGTAGCTTATAATTTTATACTGAGATAGGAGCTGCAAGACAGGAAGAATTTGATAACCCTGCAAACTTTGATAACCCTGCAAACTGCTCATGATACAGTAATGTACAATCATGTATATACAGCAGCACATCTGACAACCCAAACTCATACATGATGAAGATATGCAGTCATTGACCTCTATGTATAACTATAATTTACTATACATGTAGGTCACCACTAAACAAGGCACAAAAGCTATACAATGTTAAGGACTTAGTTAAACTGACCATGCCCAGAGAAAGAAGTGAAGTCACTCATATCTGACTAATATTACGGTATCTGATATATGTATTGTAATATATATGATGGATTAAAGGACTACACGTATGATGATGATATAATTACATAATACAGTAACTTTCATGGTGTATACTTAGTCTAGACTCTCTTGTAAAGTAGATTAGCCTCTTAGTATGTTTGATATATAGCAGCAGATGGAATGCCTTGTACCCTATATATACAATTATTTAATGTGCGACAAAGTTTATTGACACACATTATTGAATCAGCTCACCACAATAATTTGCTATTTGAGACATTAAGCTGGAAATGTTGCCTGTATCTGCAGTAGACATTATGTGTGCACCAGGAACTGTCTGGATAGCTCACACATGTGCTGCGGTAAGAGGCTGGCATGCTTAACAGAGAAAATAGTGGTGTGATATCTTTTCCAACACTCTTATGATTCATTTAAAACTTGACATACTTGTCTGGTAATTATTAGGTCTACTTATTAATTAGTCGCATATTTGATGGAATATTATATAGCAGTCACTATCAATGGATGATTATAAGCTACAGGTTTAGGGTGACTACATAGGGATGAAAAATCATCAGTGTTTATAAAAAGATTTTTAAATCTTTTTGCTCTCTATATTATACTACTAGACTACTTGGGATGTTGTTAGAAGCCTACACCCTACTATTTAAGCAAACGAGAAAAACTACTTGTATTCTCTGCAAGCTGATCTGTTTTGTAAACAATGTAGTTTGCATATGAAAGTCTTCTGTGAAGCCATTGATATTATAAGATTTTTAATTAAAATTGGTACACTAGAGTCTATTGCTGTATTGCTGTTCAATATAACACAGTTCATTTTGCATCATTCTATAATAAACATGACTGCAGTTTTTCTTGTGTCTGGTGTACATTTTGTTGTCTAATGCGTTTAACTCAGTTCTGTCTGAATGTTGCTTTAACCATTAATAACTGTAAAATATTTGACGTGGTTTTCAACTTTATTTTGCAGACAGGATATTTGTTTGATTTAGTTGATTGATTTTGATTTGTATACCAGCTCATTATGTACACATGTACCTTTGTCATTTCTTCTTCTTATTATTATTATTACTTTGTTTTATTGTTTCCTTTTATGTGTGAGGAGAGGGCTGAGATAAGTTTTAGAACTTTTTGCCCAATCCTCAAAAAATAAACTGCACACTGTGCTTTGCAGTCAGGGTACAAAATGTTTACAGACTCAAACTGAGAACAAACCACATACAGCATATATTATTAGCAAGGGTGCAACCATTCTACCAGGTGGTGTGGGGGGGAGCTTTGTAAAAGGGGTGTGGAAACTACTGTAACATTATTTTGTACATGTACCATGATGATAACTGTAAGATAGACAAAGTTTAGGACTGGAGCATTGAAATAAAGGAAAACTTACGCAACAGTAGTTAGACCCCAGCAATAGCTGCTAATGTCTGGCATGTGACTGTGCCCACTGTGACCTACGTTAGGGATGCAGCTTTTTGGTAAATATTTACATATTTCTCGACATGCTTGGTCTGGCCACGCACCTGCGCAGAACACTGGAGATCCAAGTTCCACACCCAACTTTACAACAAACAGGTGAGCTTTGTGGAATTTCTTCCTTCCTTGTTACTGTAAGATCATTCTTAGGCCACATCAATTTGATTTCTTAGTTCTCGGATCTTTGCAGGAAAAATCAATGAAGCAAAAAGAAAAGGCCTGGGCATCCTGTGATAGCCCCAAATACTACCATTAGATCTGAGTGAGCCACAATGTCAACAAACAGGGCTAATTTATAAATCAGACAATGGAGAGTTGTGACTAAGGTGTGAGACTTAACATTCTATGAAAGAGGCACAGACACCTATAGACAAGCTTGAGTTAAAGTAACAAAGTTGTTTCAAGTGCTATCTTTTGTAAACAGGCCAAACTTTAAGTTCATTCAGTTCAAGTGTGTTTGAATTCTTGTCAAGTACATTATGATAATACCTTTTAAGTTACATAACCCATAATGGTGGGGCATATTAGTCCATCAGCATTTAATCTGTCAAGATATGAGACTTAAAATCACTGTACAGTTTCCTGAAAATATATTAATGACATTGTTAACCTTCTCCCTGCTGCCTAACCCCATAACCAATATACAGTTCAGTTCATCCACTAGTTGGTGACACCATTACTGTCCCTCCATATACGCTTCTGAACTAACAGAGTCTTGGTAGTCAATTGGCTATACTCCAGTGTCACATAGACAGCAACATCTACTACATTTTGTTGTACCTTCAGTAAGACCTGCCCAAGTCAGAGTTGCCTGACCGTACAAAGGGACTGTGCTCCCAGTATTTGCACAGTTCACAATATACTATTATCATTGACTTGTGGTGCAGAACCATTCTATCTGCAAGGAAACAACAGTTACTGGGGGAGAGGAGTTTTGCAGATAGCTAGGGAGAATATACAATGGAGCCTTTCACCCAACCCTGGGGTGTAAATTATAAAAAAAAAAACATTTCATAGACCTTATAAGTCGGTAAAAACTTAAAGCCTGGTAAGTCTAACTAACAAACACTATAACTGACTCCAGAATGCACAGAACGTTAACTCTGTTGTCTAAGTCTACTACTATATAATAGGCAGACTATATAAACAAAGGCAAACAACTATGAATTTCATAACAACCATCATACATGATATTGTTTGTAGCGTACCAAAAATCATACTCTCTACAGTCACAATCAATCCTGATTTTCTGTACGTAGCAACAAAATGTATACCATGATAATTGTCTTGCTACTGTAACAAAATATTCATTTCAAATTTAATCTGTACCCTCAGACTCCTGGTTTAACCAGACTTAGTGTGGACTTCAGCAACCATGGCGCAACTCCCTGCCCTCACTTCACTGTATGCCAGGATTGCTGACAGCTTGTCAGAGGAAGATGTTAAAAGTCTGCGGGCCTTGGTAGCTCCTGGAATACTTGGACAGGCAAGAGTGGAACATGCCATACCTCTCGAGATCTTCAACATGCTCGAGGCTGACAATAAGATTGGCAAAGACAACCTCAGCTTGCTTGTGCAGATATTGAGGAGTTTGAAGAAGGGAAAACTAGCAGATGAAGTTGAACAATTTGTACAAGAGCAGAGGAGGGAAGGTATGTCTCAATAGTTTGTAACAATTCAGTATAGAGGACATGTATGATAAGGAGAAACAGTTAAAACTGATTTTGCTGTGAGATGAAAACTGTGACAGTCGTACTAATTGATCTGTACAATAAGGGCATAAAGTGTGCAACAAAAGAGCTTCTCATGTGACTTTCTTCTTTCTTGACATTTGTACAAATTTTTAAAATATAATTTTGCAATAAACATGATCAGTTTTGTTTTTTAACTGTGACTATATATTAATAACAAGTCACATGTATTTTAAAACTTCAAGACAATAATTTTAAACATTTTCTCTTACATGACTCTGAAGAAGTAAGTAAAGCAGCAGAAAAGTACAAAGCTGCGTTAGAAGAGGTCATCTCTACGATAACCCAGCAAGTGGACAACCTGGACAGGGAACTCACAGCAACTTCAGAGAACTGTGAGCAGGTAGAGAAGGAAATCCAGCAGCACTACAAAAGGCTCATCTCCAAACTCCAGCTGGAGGAGCAGGAGATGGTCACCAAGGTACAAAAAGTCAACCGAGACAGGGGAGGGGAACTGACTCGGGAGAAAGAAAAATTGGTGACAGAACTCGAAAAGAACAAGGAAGGGGTAAAATTATGTGAGAAGATATTAGACTGTAAAGATGACACACAATCCTTGATCTTGAGAAAAGAAATGGAAGAAAAGTTCCAGAAGCTGGCCTTGGAGGAAACAGGTAAGAACAGTTTGGTAGGTCATACAAAAGTGTCTTTCCATCCCCGTAGTCTATCCCAGGTTTCTGGAGGTTCCTTGTCAGTGTTTGCTGGGTTCACTATTGATGTACAGGAGCCAGCAGTAGAGAGTCTGTCCTGCCCTGTCACTGTCACAACCAACAATGCAGATCTAACAGGTGGGAAAGTTGCACCACAGATAGAAGTGACCTCCCCCCAGGGTAAAACCACCCTCATACAAACAAGGGCACACACTAGTCCCCCACTAGCTGCAGGGAAGGGACAAACCAGCAGAGTTAGCAGGGTCTGGGGTGCAGAGTGGAGACCTCAGCAGTCAGGCAAACACACACTGGGGGTCTGTATAGGGGGTATGAAGGATCTTTGCTCTCTCAATGTAGATGTGGGAAGTAACAATCATGTCCTGAGGTTGGGGCAGAAAGGCAGCCAGCAGGGGCAGTTTGACACTCCTATAGATGTAGCAGTCAGTGGGGACAGGCTGTATGTGGCTGATACTTATAACCAGCGTGTTCAGGTGTTTGATCTGAGTGGAAAGTTTTGTCACTCATTTGCAGTAAATCCTGGCCCTGGATCACTAGCTGTTCAAACTGATGGCACCATAGCGATGAGATCTGGGAAGGAAGTGAAGATATTTTCCACATCAGGAAAACTGCTGCACAAATTCCCTCTGGGTGAATATTGCACAGGCCCCTATGGGCTGGCAGTACAGAGGGATGGGAGGGTTGTTGTAGCTGATAAGGGCAAACACAGCATCTTCCTGTTTGAGGCAGATGGGACACTGGTGAAACAGGTGGGAGGGCAGGGGAAGGGGGAGGGGCAGTTTGATCAGCCATACTTTGTCTGTGTGGATAAAGAAGACAACGTCATTGTGGCAGATAAAAACAACCACCGTGTTCAGGTGTTTGACAGGAATCTGAACTACAAACACAAGTTTGGTCAGTGGGGCAGACTGCCACAGGACATGTTTGGTCCTGCAGGGGTGTCAGCTGACAGCAGGGGGAACATAGTTCTGGCAAACTTTGGAGATGTCTCTGGTGTAAGTGGTGTAGAACATGGCAGGAAGCTTCAGGTGTTCCGGCCAGACGGCACCTGGGTGTCCACCATTAGCAGTGATGGGGACAAACTGAACTGGCCCCACGGGGTGGCTGTGACAGAGGATGGACATGTGTTTGTAGTTGATCCTGAAGACCACTGTGTCAGGAAGTACAGATACATGTAACAATGCAGAACATCCCATGTACAGGGACAAGTTGTTTCCTTACTAGCTCTGTATGACTCACTATTGTTTTGTACCTTAAGCTTGTATGTATGTGGCCATAAGAAGATTTTACCTTGAAGTTCATGGCTACTAGTCTGTCAATGTGTTTCATAACTTTCATAAATACTGCCTAAAGTAATGCGTGGTGCATTTTACACACTGTCAGATAATCACAAAATCACACTACATCAATGACTTGTACACTAGCTGGTGTGTTACTCCAAAGGACAGTTGTATATAGCAACTCTGTTTTTTTACTGCTGTAGATGTTTTTTTACTGCTGTAGACCCTACATGTCTGACTTTGTATCTTGTATGTACTATGTGGTTGTAAAAAACTTACCCTCATGGCTCTTGTCAACATGTTTCAAATAACTTCTATAAACACGGCCTCATTATATAAGCAGGGAATAACTCACCTGGCACATTTTACACAGATAACCACTACAAACAGATCACTTTCTACATTTTAAACTTTTAGTAACCAAGGTACTTTACATGACTTTCCTCAGTTCACTCAGGTGAAAATGAGTACTACTACCTAGCTTCGGTTAGGGGCGTCTTATCGGATGGGACGTTAAAATGAAGGTCCCGTATTTGAGGAGAGACACACCTCAAGCACGTTAAAGAACCCACGTGAGCGGAAGTGGAACAAACCATTAAGGTCTAAAAGGGGTAGGGAATTTTCCCGACCAGCCTCATAACCCCTGCTTCTCCTATTGGGTCAGTTAGTCCTCACTACTTGTGAGAAATTGGGCTGGTCTCAATCATGATGTTTCTAAATCGGGGAGAAGAGTTGCTGTTACAGTTCTGTACCTGTAGCTCTATGCCTAGAAGTGGCCAAAAATGGCCTTGCATTGAGCGACACCGTTAAAAAAAAAAATTTACTAAAGCACAAAACTTACCACAAACAATAAGAGCAGCATGTTGCATCTCTCCCTGTCATGTTGACGCATGTCAATCAAATCCTCCAGGAACGTCGGACAAATCGGGACGTCCAAAGTTCTGTAAAAAGGTGAAAATGTGTCTTTAAGTTAGTTCTGTTTAAGGTAAAAGAAAGCTATTCTTCCACTACATTCAATTTGATGAAGGTTAGAGATACAGGTAGAATATAAGGTAATCAAAAAATAATGAACAGTCAACTGGATAAATTTTGTAAAGAGTCAGTTGAAGTCTTATACAGGCTCAACATTTATATTATAATAAACATACAGGTTCAATGTTAACATATGGGAAATACGCCACACTCTTTTTTTAAAGAATTTACACTGAGTAAAACTACAAATAGTGGATCATAGCTTACTTCCATGTAATATCAATAGTACACAGTTTTAGTGTACCATTCATTTGAGGATATACATGTACATTTTGTATACACAAACTTAATTATTGCTGAGTGTTATTTTGGCAACAAATGAATACTAAAGGAAGGAGAACATTGATTTTCTAAGCCTACCTTCTGGAGTATTCTCTCTCTAACAGCAGATCCTCCTGTACATTGAAGGCCAGGTACTTCAGTCTGCGCTTGTCTAAATCTGGGGAATAGTGATGTAAACTCACAGTTACCAACATGTATTTTGACACCCTGTATAGTTTGATTTGATTTATCAAACAGTGAAACTGTATATTAAACAGATACACAGCCTGGACTGTCCAACTACCCGGAGGCTATTATAAAGGGCTAGCCCTGTTACAATGTGTTCAGAACTGTTATATATGTTCCATTTCAGTTTACATGTATTGGGATGCCCTTCAGCTCCCTTCCAGGGCTCCTACACCAACTATATACAGGTACAGAAACAGACATGTACAATGATCACATTTATCATAGGGTAGTTAAAAAAAGATTCAAGGAATTAATACACACTATTTACAATTCACTGACAATGCCTAAATCATAGGTAGATTCTGAGTGGAAAAGATGCATCACTTTTTAAGAAGAACAACTTTTAGATTTAGATAATTTCATATTTTGGAGTGCAAACAATCTGAATCATAGTACAGTAGCTACTGTAGCCTTACCTATGTTCATAGTGTCTGTGAGTGGAAATCTGGACCTTAGATGTGTCGTCTGGTGAAGAGAAAACAAGCAAATTCTTAAATCATGACCGTCAATTGAGCTGTGCTTTCAACGAAATCAATATAAATTGCATAACTGAAAATACACACAAGTTCAAACTTGAAAAGAATAGGTAAAACATTAATACCTTTTCCCCAAATATCCCATACAGCTCCAGTGACTTAAAAACAGTGGGGGTAAAGCCTGTGGACAGCTTATGTCTCTGCAACAAACAACATACAATACAAAGATATTTTAAGATAGGCTTATCTTAGTCTCATTCAGCATTATATTGTTTAGACACTGAGGCCACTATTAAAAGCACAGACACACACACACACACACACACACACACACACACACACACACACACACACACACACACACACACACACACACACACACACACACACACACACACACACACACAAACACACACATATACACACTCATATACTGTGTGTATACAATGAACCTTTTGGATGAAGTTCAAATGACACATTAATAGAAGAAATTTAAAGAAGAGAAAGTGTTCCTCACCACAGGATGATCTGTCAGGGCAGAGTCCTGGAAGAACTGAGTCACCTGCAGTCTCTCAGCAGCTGGGGGAAACCAGATCAAGGAGGGTCGTATTACACTTAGGTTTCACTGATCAGATATCAACTTACATCTTATGATATGAGTATCAGGGTAAGACCAAATTATGACACAAGCCACACATGTTTCATATAAGATAAGTGCTACCAGTTGCCATCCTTGTTGCAACAAAAGATATACACAACACTGAATGTACTTATCTCCTGAAATCACTTCATGCATGTAAATGTAGTGAAGCATCACCAGAACAAGGAAGCATACACAATCAGCACCAAGGACAGGTGCCGCAGATATATAACATACAGTAACTGTTGTTCTTTTCCCTGAAATTGCTGTGTACAGTTGCTCTTTCTCAGAACATGGATCATATGCCAATGCCCTTATTATGTACATATATATGAATTAGGAGGAACAATGAGTTTATTTCATGTCTGAATCATGCAAAACGTTGACAACCATAGGCATTCTTGGGAGCTTTTTTTCATACAGATAAATATTTTGAGTTCAATTTATTTCAAATTATTCTCATCATTATACCAAACACTACATTAAGTTTTCTGGTACATGAAGGTGCATTAAGCAAGTTTGACTTACATGTGACGAGTCTCCCATCTAGCATCCACACATGAGGCAGGCAGTCGATTACATGGATACGGTCTGGGAACAAAGGGAAAAACAGTTTATAAAACTAGTGAAGCATAACACACCAGCTAATGGTACCATATTTCAAATAATTGATTTAATTTCCTTGTATCAAGAAACTAACTTAAAGGTACAATATAGCAGCTTTTCAATCATTGATACTAAATCACAGGTTTAAACATGTTAAACTTTGTGTTTTTTTTCCATCCTGAAAAGGAGAATTTAATAATACATTTCAAGAATATACCAAAAAGGTTTACAATATAACATCATGTGACTTGTATGTTACTATGTTACATGTACTTCACAATTCTTGTATTTTGCAAGCAAAAAGACATAAAACTATTAGGGAGAAGAACAAAGCTCTTCAAGCACTACCCACAACGTCCCTCCCCAAAATAGGCCTCCGTGTTGAATGCTCCTTTCTTTACGAGTACAAATTACACAACAATTACCGCAGGTTACTATGTACAGAGTGGGGCTGGGACAACACCACAGCTTAACAGCCGCGCACGAGTCAGCGACAGACACAGTTACAAATCACAGAACCAACAACCCAGCCAGGCTAATCGATGGGCCTTTGTCAGGTGGGCAAATATCGTTCTGCCCAGGCTGGGTCCAGTTATCTCCTGGGCAAACTAACCAACAAACATACAATAACACCCATAAACACACATCGGCATTGCACAAAAGATATCAGAACAGATAATAGTCAAAACTGAGGACCACTCAAGGGACTGATAAAATCTGGACTATGTGGACAGGTGGTCACTATAGGTAGAATTGTTGACTGTATGTCAATGGGAAAATTATCACCAAAACAGTGGCCACAATTTTGGCCAGGTGGTCAGGTTTGTCAATAGTCATGTACCAATTGACCACATGAATAACTACCAACAAAGCAGTCATCAAAACATATTTAATTTAGTATTCTTTTTATCTGTTATGCTGATCAACCACAGATACCCTTGCCCATACACAAACCTAACCACAAACATGAAGGTAAGAATTATTACAATTAGCAAAATTTTAGAGATCAACATTGGTGCAAACAAATCACAATCTCCCTTAGAAGTAAAGATTTTTCACAGTTACTGGGCTGAGCCCATTGAGCTACTAGGAAGTCAATGTATCTTTGTCAGGTGAACAAATACAGCAGTATTTACCCTGACCCAGTCATGTCTGGTTTTACCAAGTATAGGAGCCTTCTCATCAATCTTAATAACTGTTAAGACTTAACTAGAAATTGGGACAGGCCCGATCTCATTTAAATGTGAAAAATGCTGTTGCAGCCTCTTCACGACTTGATATGAGACAAATCGAACCTCATCATTGCTTTCTTCACTTTCCCACTACATACTATATTTCACGAAAAATGAGCCAACAGTCACTATAGACAGGTTTGACTGCCATTTTTCTATACAAAGAATTGAAAAATTGTGAGCATTTCACTTCAACCTTTTAGGATATTATCTGTACTGTCAGTCCTTGTTCACAACTGTTTTATCAGACAAGTGTAGTGTGTAAATCAGCTAAGACAACAGTAGAAACTTTGGGTCTATTTCTAGCTCAGCTGTTATCTTAGATTGCAGGTTAAGTGTTTGACTAAAAGCACTAAACTTCACAGTGTGTACATAACTACCCTGTACTTGACAGCACTTGTTCTGTCTCAGTGGCTTCCACAGAAATAATTGTGTACATAGAAGTTGCCCACTAGAACAAGACTGGTGGCTAAAATATTTCAATCAGAATGTCATAGTCAATTCGAAAAGTTCAGCTGACTTTCTTGATTTTGACTGAAAATTTAAGTGGTTAAGTGGTTCAATTTTTCATGTAATTTGGAAATTTCAGCAAACTACAATTGGGGATTGATGGCGACAAACAAGCTACTATTGATCAATCAAAACAATAATGATCAAGAACAGATAACAGTAGTTTCCAAGGTCTAGGAAAATTGTGTTTCCTATTTTGCGACCGATCCTAGAAAAAACTGCCAACCCTAGCCTTTATTTTGAGGTGGACCCCTGCAAGGGACATTCTCTATCTTGTCCTTGATCTGACACCTGAGTGATGAAACATTGTACAATCGGTTTTCCAACATTGACATTGAAAATATAAGTGTCCTCATGCAAGTCCTCAAACAAATTGTATTGTATAAGACTTGGATCACTAGAGATCATAATCTAATTGAAAAGAAAAAAGAAAGAAAACAGAATGATAATCCCTACCTACCGACCCTAATTTTTTCAGGACTGGAACAGTAAACACAACATTTTTGCTATGCCAAAATGACCTTGAAAGGTTGTATACTTGCAGTAGGTGTCCTTCTCCAGCTGGTTGTTGCCATGGAGATAGAGTTCCAGGATGTACAAAACTGATAACAAGTTACTACTAGTATTATAACAGAACTGATCAATGAAACTAACAATCAATTTCAGTTCACAGATGACCTTGAGAGGTCATACTTACAGTATGTGTCCTTCTCCAGCTGGTTGTTGCCATGGAGATAGAGTTCCATGATGTACAGCACTGATAACAACTTACTGATCAATGAAACTAATAATCAATTTTCATTCACAGATGACCTTGAGCAATCATACTTACAGTAGGTGTCCTTCTCCAGCTGTTGGTTGCCATAGAGATAGAGTTCCAGGATGTACAAAACTGATAGTGTGTACAAGTTGCTATAATCAATCAATCAAAATAATAATCAATTTAGAACTGATACATGTATTGATAAAGTTCCCAAACGACCTTGAGAAATCATACTTACAGTATGTGTCCTTCTCCAGCTGTTGGTTGCCATGGAGATAGAGTTCCAGGATGTACAACACTGGCCGTGTGTACAAGATATTATTGATCAAACTAATATACAATTTATAACTCAGATAGTTTCCAGATGACCTTGAGAGGTCATACTTACAGTAGGTGTCCTTCTCCATCTGTTGGTTGCCATGGAGATAGAGTTCCAGGATGTGGAGCTGGCGGATCTTGCCGAGCTCCTCCCAGGTCAGGTCGTTGTTCGACAGGATCAGGGTTCCCATGGCAACGAACCGCGACAAACCGTCCAGAAATCGCACCTATAAATCAGGGATAAAGAAGATCTAAATCAGTATTTCGTTTTGGTTGTTTATTTGTCAGTTTCTTTGTGCCTCCATTTGATTAATCAGACCTGATGCATGATGTACAAAATACACACTCAGTCATTAATATATAAATTGGTGGATGTACCAACTACTACGTACAGTATCTCAGAAAAGAACAAGTTAGCAGTTTTTAATCCAGTATTGAGATGTCTAAAAATTTGTCATTTACTAGAACTTACTACCAAGTACACTTCAGGGGCAATGGAAAAGATAGGTACATGTATATGGACAGGCACGACACTAAGTGAAATGTTAAGAAGAACAGAAAACTGAGAAGGGCAGTTGTCAGGTCATCTGTGGTGTCCCAACAGTCAGATAATTAGACTGAGGGATAGGTGAGATGAGATACATATGATCAGATTCAACATTCAATTTGTATGACTATAGGTAGCAATTTTGCCACCTGTTCCCTTTTTATTGGCAATTCACCACCCTTAAGCACTTTGTTTCTTCTTCCAAATTCCTTAACCAGCAACCCTGACTCCTTGGTAACCTTAAGACATCTTATGTTTCACCTGGATAACAGGACAACCCACGACCTGAAACCACTTAAGCTGCCACCACAAACCTATTAACTCCAGAACAAACTTTTATACTACAGCTGGCTGGCTTACTGTGACAGAACTGGGCTAACTCAGGATGTGCATTATGATCTGTTAGGTGTCATGGAAGGTTTTCACACAATATCAACTTTATACAAATTAGCTGTAAAGGGCTACAAACATTTGTCCAAAGTGCAATATTTAGTCCAACATTAATTTGCAGGGTGTTTTAAGCTACTACCACAAACGTATTAAGTCAGAACAAACTGTTATATTACCATATGGAAGGTTTTCACACAATATCAACTTTGTAACTATAAGCTGTAAAGGGCTACAATATTTAGTGCAAAATTAATATGCAGGTTGTTTTAAGCTGCCACCACAAACCTATTAACTCTAGAACAAACTTTAAATTTATACTACAGGTGACTGGCTTCTTGACAGAACTGGGCTAACTCTGGATGTGCATTATGATCTGTTATATTACCATGGAAGGTTTTCACAAAATCATTCAACTTTGTAACTATAAGGTGTAAATTTAAAGGGCTACAATATTTAGTGCAAAATTAATCTACAGGACTGGTTGTTTTAAGCTGCCACCACAAACCTATTAACTCCAGAACAAACTTTTATACTACAGGTGACTGGCTTACTGTGACAGAACTGGGCTAAGTCAGACTGTAGAACTTTGGAAAACTGTCATGGGGACAGGTTAGGAAGGGTGTTCCCCTCAGGGCTCCAAGCCCTTTTTTCTCTAGTCTATTAGAGTGTCAAATGAAATCACCTGTACCATTCATTTTCTTTTAATAAAGGCCTTTGTTTTGAAATTCTACATTGTTGAAAAAGAAGTGTTGATGACAATGTTTTGAGAGTTAAATTTTACAGCATTAAATTACAACATTTTTATGATTTTGGCAACAGAGATTTGATTTTCTGAAATCTGAAACAAATCCTAAACTTGTGTTTGAAGCTTACCTATGTAAAATAAGAGGCCATTTCTGCATTCAACACTAAATGCAGACTCAGTCTGTTACTTGGCTTCCATGAATAATTTCATCAGATTGTCAAGAGACTGTATATAATTATTATACTATAATATAATTACAATATAGTAGGTTCTTTATTTGACAACCAGTCCCAGGGCTTTTACATCTGATGTTTTCAGTTTTTGTTGTCCTGAAAAAGGCGACAGACAGTCTTACTAAGTTACTAGGGTTTGTTTATTTGTTTTACTGTTTGCTTCTGTTTTGATCACACCCCAACACACTGCCACACTGTCTTGTATGGAAACACATTTAGTGCAAGTGGCAGGACGTCTCAAGTATAACTTGTCAGGTGGGCATTTTTTTTTCTCACACCAGACTTGAAGGACGAGGCATGAACCTTAAGAAAACAGTTCCCCACTTCAGCTCCAAACACCTGAACTTCCCCCGACAGGTGAGTTTAACAGGTGAGACATAGAACACCTGACATTAACCCCCACGTTGTGTAACTAAGCGGGGTTAAACGCTGAGGTGAACTCAAGCTTTGTACTGAAAACTCCCCCATAGTTTTCGGGTCCCGTGTGTCTGAATACTCGCCAGGTAACACAATACACGTGCTGATCCATGACTCAGGTGAGAACAATACCCCGGCAGGTGAGACAAAAGGTGGGCTGGGAAACCTGTGGCATTGTTGGTGTTGTTGCAACAACGTTGCGGGTTTTTCGTTAGACCAATGTTTTGGTTTTACCCACTTTTGCCGGTGATTCTATTACACGGTCTATTGGTTCCCGGCTTTTCCACTAAGAGCAGGGAAAATAGTTAATATTGAACCCAAAACATTGCTTCTGCACTCTTTAGCAAGGCTTTCCCCTAAAACTTTCACCAGATTTAAGTTTTGGACCATCATATCAATATAAGATCATCTGAAATTAAGCTGGTTTTTCTCTAAAAGTATATAGTTACTTACTCAGTCTGGTATATTGGAATACTCAAATCAAACTTTTCCTTCAAAGGATACACAGGTCCTAGAACAGTTTTCTCTTAATGCTTATTTTGGTATTTGACAATAGTACACATATCAGGTACAGCTTTTGTTGTTAAAACAACTTCACGGGATAAAGCGATGTTTTGGCTAAAACTACGCACTTTCGGCGACTCGATTACAATGTCAAGGTCCATTGGTTTTCTGACCAAGAAACTGAGAAAGAAAAGCTAGTATTTAACCCATAACATAGCATCCAACCAATATGTTTACGGACAAATTATGATGAAAAGTCATCCAACTCCAATAGCATCCGATGAGGTTTCTCTGAAATTCTATCAAACTTTCACATCAAAGATACAGAAGAATCAAAAGAGCAGTTCTCTTAACGCTTCTTTTGAATCCTATAATGCCACACATATCAGGTAGAGTTAGAGGAAACCTGTGGTATTGTGGGTGTTTTTAAGTAATGTCACGGGTATTTTGTTATCGCAGGTTTTGTTTTGGTTATACGCACTTTCACCTACGGTTCAGTTACACCTACCCCTGGTCTCCAGCCTCCCACTGAGGCTCAAACACCTGCTATCAGGGTTCTCACCAGGATTTTTTCACAATCACAGCATAGGGGTCACGTGTACAGATGGGCAACTTTATGCGGCACAAGTCAAGCATTGACTCAGTCCCCAAAATATGAACACAGCAGGGGGTCTGATATTGTCCCCCCAAAATTTTGTAACTCATAACCCCCTGAGACACTTTTTCATGCTTATTGGGGCACAGTTTTTGTTTTCCTTTTGCTATACATGTAGATTCATTCTGAAGTTATATTTTCATTTTTTGAAGATTTATGAAGCTTCTCCCCCCCCCCATAAAAACACCCCTACGCTGGCTGAATCACAGGGATATAACACTGATAAATATAAATCTGAGCCTGTTTCTTTTTCTCATATTAAGCAATTTTCAACCTGACAAGATCCAGGTGTTTGCTAATAGTTAAAGTACCCACTTATCAAATATAGTGATAATGATACTGTAAAAATGATACTGACACTTCCATTATCTGGTTTGAGTGAAGGGTTTGTTCAAAATCAACCAGTGGTAAATTATACAAATGATACTCTTTTCTCTCCATTGTCAGACGGACTGACATACAGATAGGCCCGACAACAGCCGGGATTCAAACCCTGGACCACCTGGTTCAGAACCACTAGATCATTGCACACAACCTGTCATTAGCTCCTGACTATAACTACAGCCTATCATTGCTGTAATGATACATTACATTCTCATCCTATGTCTGAGAGTACGATTCAATCTGTTATACATTATTGTACAGAATTTTCATCGAAAACAGCACCTTCCCACATTGTAAATACAGGAAGGTATATATACAGTCAAGGTATATTATACATACTGTTTCACCTATACAAACAGGTATACAGTCACCATTTCACCTGTAAATGCAGACAGGTGTACAGTACATGTACCACTTCCCCTGTAGCTACAGGCAGGTGTACCTGCAGACAGGTGTAACTACAGGTAGGTATATTCAGTCAGGTGTAAATACAGCCCCATCCCTGCAGTGTTATGACTACACAGCACCACTAGTGGTCTGACAACATTGCTATGTTGACTTGGTGTCTAGTTTCCCAACACGGCCCAATTTTCTCTTCAACACGAGAACGGCTCCACTAAAGACCGGGATTAAACTCTAATCACAGACAACATGTCGGGGAATTTTAGGAAACAGAGAAAGGGAGGGCAGTTTAAATTTGCTGATTTGTTTTGCTTCATTTTTGTTTCATACTTGAGTCATGGACCAGATATATCTAAATTAAATCACGAAAAGAGTGCTCTATAAAAATAACAGGGAAAAATGCCTCCTACAAGTACCTCTATTTCTAAGACCTTAGTTAAGCAACTTTTGCTATTCCTATTCAGGGACAACATGGCATTTAAAAAGACAAAGAGAATTTAGGACTAAGCCATCTGAGTTGTTTTGCTTCAAAGTTACTTTACAGTCGGGTTGTGAGGCACTTCAGCATGAAACATACCAGGGGATAACTGGTGTTAAATGGGAGATTAGTTACTAGCAGAAAAAAAATTCTTCAATCTCATAATACCTACTGTCGCTAAGTCTGACACTATACCAGGAGAAAGACATAGAGAAAAGGGCTGATTTTCTTTGCTTCATTGTTGTTTCATCTTATAAGACACCGAGGTCAGTGAATCAACATACCAGGGATGAGGGTGTTATGTGGAAGATTAGTTACCAACAGAAAAAATAATCTGAATCTGTTTCTTGGACCTACTTTTGCTACAGTACATGTAACTCTGATCAGAAACAACAATACATGCCCGTGAAAAGACACAGAGAAGGACTTTAAGTATTTTGATTTGTTTTGCTTCAATCTTGTTTCATAGTTGAGTAGCAGACACCTGGTTACTGGGATGAATGGTGTTATGTAGGAGATTAGTTAGGTTCTGGGTTCGAATCCCAAGCAGGCTACAATGTTGTGGCCTTGAGAAAGTGACTTAACACTTCTTTTCTCACTCAACTCAGGTGAAAATGAGTCAAAAATTTCTGGCTTCAGTTAGGGATGTCTTCTTGGATTAGAGGTAAAGATGTCCCATGTTTGAGGAGAGCTACACGTCAAGCACGTTAAAGAAAAGAGAAGAGGACTGATGTGAACTTGGATTAAACTTAAAGTCCTGTGGCCACACCTGTGGGGAAGGCAGCCACTCCAGACCCTTGCTATTGAGCCCCAATAATTGTAAGCTCCTCACAATTCAGTCCTTGGCTGAAAAGAGAGAGTAGCCGGCCCACCCAATAACAATTATAACAAATATACTGGGGTAATAACAATAACATAATATATGACAGGAAAGTTATTTCCTCACCCCGTTGTTGCTGAGGTCAAGGTACCAGATGTTTGCGCAGGGTTCCAGACCCTGGACTGTCTCGATGTGGTTCCCTCTCAGCAGCAGGGCCTGCAGCCGTGGACACATGTTCAACTTCTCCAGCAGGACTGTAGTATGGTGGAAAATCAATAGACATTCAATAATAACATATAATATGTTCAAAATTATACAATAACTAAGGCCTGCAGCCGTGGGCACATGTTCAACTTCTCCAGAAGAACTACAGGGGAGAAAATAATAACAACTAGAGTTCCCCGATCTCATACCTTCGCCAAATGATGTTAATCTTTATGACTGACAAATTATAGATTGGATTATTCCCCCCTGATTTAAGAAATAGGAACCTAATTTTCATGAATTATATCATTTTATCATAATCTCAACCAAAAAAAACAGTCTTATATTAACAAACAATGCATTCTAGTATTTCCTAATAAATTATGCAAATGAGGTCCTGATTTGAATAAATTATGTTTAATGATGTTCACCTCAATTTAACTTTCAAATACCACAAGTATGAAATTCCAGGCAGTTATCATTACATAATTATAAAATTTTCTCATTAATTATGCAAATTAGGTCATTATTAACATAATCAATATCTTCCTGTTTTTCTCTCGTTGTAAATTACCAATGTCACAAGCTTTAATTGTCCTATCATGGAATGCAGCTGATTTATAGAATTTCCCCATAAATTATGCAAATTATATCCATATTTGTATAATTGTTACATAATTATATGAAGGATCACGTAAGCTACCTACATACCAAAAATCACGACGATCCGTGAACCGGTTCTTGAGTTATCCCCTTTTGAATATTTTCAAGAATATATGGCTGCAGTTCCAGAGCAAGCCGCTAGGGGGCCTAAACTCACATCACTTCTTCCCCAGCACAAGAGCTACCTACCATCTAAATTTCATCACCATAGCATGTCTAGATCATGAGATATCAAAACCGGAAGTTCAGCTGCAGTACCATAACAAGCCGCTAGGGGGCCCAAAATCTAATCATTTTGAGGTCTCATCAAGACCTACCCACCTACCAAGTATCAAGACAATCCATCAAGGCCTTCTCAAGTTATCGTGTTGACAGACACACACACACACACATACACGAACGCCCCTGAAAACATAACCTTCTTGGCGAAGGTAATTAAAATGTACATAGTTAACATCATTTTGGAATTTACGCTGATGAAGTTTAGAATTTGTGGAATAACTTCTACAAATGATATAGGGATTTCTTTTACACAAGATGAATGCTCTACCAAACTGATGATAAAACTATTTTCGGTATATTTCATGATATTTAGCATAACATCTTCAAATTTGAACAACTTAGTATGAGATTCAATCTACTTTACAAAAGACTACGTAGCATTCAGGTACTAGTATAAGAGTGTGCTTTTAGTAAGTTTTTCAATTACAATGGGATATCTAGTGGTTTGATATATTGAAAGATAGCGTCATGTACAGTTAGCAGGATTTTTCTTGTGTCTACATGTACATGTACTTGAATTGGCTATAATGGCATAATTTTATACTGCCGCCTGTCCTTCATCTATTATAGTGTATTGAATATATTACAGTCAAATAAAAAAGATACTAGTAGCCTGATATTTCTCTTCCTATCCACTCTCATATAGCACTTACTGTAGTAACATTCAATATTATTGATTATTACACCTGAGTAACCTAAAAGGTTCCTGTATTAAATGTTCATATTGACTTTCCACATGGGGTTAATCCTGTTTTTCTAAACTTCAAAAGACACCTGTTCAGACAAGGTAAACATGAGGTGATCAATTCTGACACTTCGCCTCCCGTATCCTGGCAACCAGCAGGTGTCCACTCTCCCAGGGACAGGTGTGTCAGGGGACTTAAGACAAGGATGACTTTAAGATTTCTCCCGCCTTTAAATTTCTTCTAGGAGTCCACTTAAAATTCTAAGATTGTAAAATCTGAGACCAGACAAGAGAAGCATGCATTTGTTCGATTTAAAATTTGAACTTCTTGCAGATTGTGGGTTGAATACACCACAACTGATATTAAACTGGGCCTGCATGCTTTTCTCGTAAGGCGTAATTAGGCCTTTTTAGTCTTTGTAATTCGTAGGCAGTTGCCCCAATATCATCGAAATCCGTAATCAGTACATTAGCCGCAACACAAAATGATTCTTAATCAGCTCTGAGAATTTAACGTGATTCATAATCGACGGTGAAAATTTTTGCATAATTCATAATCACTATGCCCCATGCAGACCCTAACATTTACTAATGTCCTTCTTGCTGTATAATTAGTATATAATCTTCAGACAACTGGATTCCACGTCGGCCCTACTGTATAAAGGCATGATTAATGAGACATCGTTCCCACTCTAAGATCCCCAGGGATTCTTTACGTTTTCAGAACAAAAGACCGATTAAATGTTGAACGGCTCGCTGAAAGGCGACCCGCTGCGTAAGATAAGGTTACTATGATTTGTGTGAGTTCTAAAAAACACCGAGGAGAGGTCGTAAAAAATTGTACCGTTTCTAAGAAGAATGACCCAATTTTAGAATGTCAGGTACAAAATTAACCTTCATATGTCTTAAAAAGTCTCCCTGGTAGACTGTCAAATGTCTTAAGGGCAAAGCAGACTCATGTCTTATTCTATAGTCTTGAATAGTACTAAGTACGTTCTTAAAACGCTAAGGTCGACCTAATCTTAAGGGTGTTTCGTAAACTTGTCCAAACTTGACAATTTAGCGGCCAGATTGTCTAAAACAGAGCAGCAATGCTATCTCAGAATGGCCCACTGAACTGATAAGAATGTCCCAAACACGGTAAGAAGTTTGCTGTGTCCAAGATAGCGGTCCAGGTGTCCAAGACACGCCACAAGAACTCACCTATTCCCAGATCCGACAAGTCCAACCATTCTGCCAGCTTCGGCGACACCCCCGCCCTCGAACGCAGCATCTAGAAGGAGATACGAACACCTTAAGTCGTGACACCGCCTTGTCTTAAAGATTATACCAAGAAAGAGAGAGTTTGGGGAGGTTTTGGGTGCCTTACCTGGCGCGAAATGCGCATAGTTACGCCATGTTCCCTCAACACTTTTCAAACACCGCTCTCTATTTACACATGCGCCTCACAACACACCCGTGCTACACCGCTCGAACAAAGTAGTCCCACCAAACTATCAACGATTCGCCTTAGAATCAGCTTAATATTTACTCTAAATATTATTTTACAATACAAGATTACTTTAAAAACGTTAATCTTTTATAGGTTATTGTGAATAAACCATGATTATATATTTTAAGGTTATTAATGTATTACTCCGCAATGTGAGCTGGTTACGAATGAAATGACCCCTGACCTCTCCATTGACAAGTCGGCCCAGGCATGGAAACGTTGTGGTTGTGGAAAACACACGTTACTCTACCCGATATGCCGGGAAAAACAGCCGCTGAAACGCATCAACACACTTGGGGGGCGTGTAAAGTGGCACGCCCCTCTTTTCCTGACGATTTTGGGGCTAACTTTAACAGGGGTGCCAAATTAGTAAGGATCGTATGTATTCCGCGTAACGTTAATGGATCGTATGTAACCGTAAACTTCGTATGTTTCCTAGTAAGGCCACACCAATTTAATTTGTTGGTTCTCGGATTTTTTCAGAAAAAATATGAAGCGACAGGGCGAAAAAAAATAAAAATAAAAACAGGTCTAGGCATCCTATTATAGGCTTAAATGGTACGAAATGAGCCATGAAGTCAACACAAAAGGCTGGGTTAAAATTTAAACATTGAATTTTGAACTTTTAATCAAACCACTGCAATGATAGATGAGAAAACTGTAACAACTAGGAAGAAAAGGACTTTCCTCAACTGTTGGGGGGCAAAACATGAGCATTTTTCACTTGATTCAGGAAAAGAATCAAAATTTTTTTTTTTCAAATCAGAAAAAAACGAAGAGGCGAATCCGAGAACCAACAAATTAAATTGGTGTGGCCTAAGGATCTTATGTATTCCGTAAAATTCGTATGTTTCTAGTAAGGATCGTATGAATTCCCGAAAATTCTGATAAATTCTTTCGTACCCTGTTTAAAGCCATTTTTAATAGTTTTAATTGCTGCTGCCCACCCCTGGGACAGTATAATCAAAACCTGGATAGTGAGTGAGTGAGTGTGAGTGAGTTAATGCATTGTAAGTGTCTGAAGTTCAAATCCAATGCTTAATAGTGTGTGAACATGTCAACATTCATTAAAACATACAAACACAAGAAGCACATGTTACAAAAATTGCTATTCAAGTGGGAAACTTTATTTTCGATCACACCAATAGCTCAGATTCCACAGTGGTCTGTCCGTATAGATTTGCTCAACTGAATAGACCAATCTCATAGCCCTACACCTACATTCCTGAAACTGTCATATATATATAAAATAAAGCAATATAGAAATGCAACAATAATTATTTGCTTCTTTTGACAGTCACGATCAGCCTCATCAGATTTCACTTTTTTATCGATTTTGTACGAAATCAGCTAATGACAAATAAGCATTACATACACCCTGTATACCATTACCAAGGACATTATACGAATTGGGAAAAGTAATAAAATTTTGTAAGAGAGATGTTGGCCCTCAGAGTGGAGGCCCTGGCAACAGCCTCAGGCATTCTGTTTTTTTGTTGTTTTTTTATCTATGCAATACCAGTCTCAGCTTAGCAGCTGTCACAAGGACGCTGTCCGATATTACCGAGGTGGCGGTTAACACTGATCTTAAATTTATGTCTGTCCTTAATAGCTACAATGTCCTGTTGGAGGGAGTTCCAGATAGAGCTTTATTGTGGCCGGTAGGAAGGTTCTTCTGTGTGATGTTGTAGATGACTTTACAGGTTCCAGGGCGTTGCTGTGTTGCGATATCGACAAGCGGGTTTCATGGTGGTGCACGTATGGGTTCGGGCTAATATATTGGTACAGAGTTCAGAATTAGCCATCTGGGAAGGTATTGACAACAGGCATCGGAGTTTAAGGCCAGGAGTGTTGTTGTTTGTCAGATCACTGTGCCAGTCAAGTGTCCAGCCGAATCCCAACGAATAGAGAATAAAATAATTAGTGTTACATGTAACTTATATCATAAAAGGTATGGCAAAATTGTATTGTATCATACAATATCAGGTATAATCAAAATAAATTGCATACCATATACCAATACCATCATTATCATATCATATTCCTCTGCTATATATAACTTATAAGTTTCATTGTACTGTACTAATTTCTAAAATCAAACTTTGAATTTTATACTCATGAAAAGGTGACCAACTTAACTTAACTGTTTCCCTGGACTGAAAGCTTTGTGGAGGTTTGGTGATGTTTCCAGGACTTGTCCCTTCTGTCTGATCATCCCTGAAAAAAAAATCGGAAAACTTTTAAGATATCATGATTACTATTCTAGATCTGTGACTACTGTTCTGAACCTTTGGTTAAGAATCTATTGGACATACAGTCCTCTGTAAAAATGAAAGCGTCCCCGACGGAGAAACGCCCGTCCGGCACCGTCCCTGCCCGTCCTTAGCGGGAAACGGCGTCCTGACCGTCCCAGCACAGTTGGCAGCGTGTCCAAACTCCGGCCGGACGGCGTCCCAGAAATTAGTGACGGCACCCCGTCGCTCCCAGCCCGTCCTGAAGCGTCCGGCATGGAAACGGGCGTTTATTAATTAATTGGCACCGGCAGTACGGTGTAGTGGCGTGCTTAACGATGTTTCCCACGGGGTTTTAGGCTTTTAACGCACATGCGCCAAGTTTGAAGGCGCTAGATTTAACCGTTAGACCGGGCTGGCTGGGGAAACACGTCTCCTCGGTTGATCTGAGTTTTTTTCCGTTTTGTTGGATTGTGTGCAATTTTGGAGAATGGATTTCAGTTATACAAGCAGCTATATCGTTCGACGATACTGCACACAAGTTTGGATAGCTCCAGCGACTGACTAAAATGTCAAACGAGGTGTTCCAAGAATGTAAACAGCGGCTGCCAGAATTTCGGGTGCACCGAAGCAATCTGTCTCAGCGGTTTTCTTTTCGAGGAGACTCGGTAAGTGGACAAGAATTTTCTGTTGTCAAATTTTACAAAAGAACTGTGTAAGACAGTGTTACAATTGCTACAACAGCAGAACAAGTTAATTTCTGGGGCAGATTTGTTGTCATTATTTGTTCATCGTCTCCGGGCCGAGTGCCGTGCCCTCCCCACAATTGCGACATGCGCCGGGCTGGTAACGGAAATTTGATGATGTTTTAACGCAAAGTAAAAAGATGCACACGAACGATTTGTAGAATAGATGTATACAATACCTGCTGTTTTAATAAAGAATGATGATGCCGTAAAAATGTTCACGCTATGAAAAATCTAACTTAAATCCGGAGGCAAGTTCACGCAGTACGGCCGCCTGTGTGTCCTGACGTCACGGATGCCATCTCCAAACGCAACCGTCAATGTTGTTTTGATACGAAATTTTCAAAATGCACGAAACAACGTAGAATACAACTGTACAATATCTGATATTTTAATAAAGGAAGATGATGACGTTAACATGTCCACTTTGACAATAGTTCACTTATACTATTTTTGCACCCTGGCCTTTATGTTTGTATGTGCTCACAATGGTGCCGTATTTTGCCAAGTTTCCGTCACATGTTCGCCGCTGTTCAACATTTTGTCACGCCGCAGACTGAATATTCTTGAAGAAAATCGTTGTCATTTGATCATGATTTTCTGTATTTACTTGTATTTAATCCCGGAGTGTTAGGGCAACTGTTACAAAATTATGTGGGCGGCCGTTACCTGATTCGATGCCAATCTGCAATTGTTTAATATCGGCGGCTTCTGTGACGGGACGCCGTCGGAAACGCCGTCCCAACCCCGTCGGAGCGGCAAGATCACACTGTCCACAATGACTGAGCACCCCCCAGAGACCCGTCCGGCCGTCGGACACGCCGTTTGTATCCCACCTGTGCCGTCCCAAGCGTCGCCCGGACCCGCCCTGGAGCCCGTCCGGCAGCCCGTCCGGGAGCCCGTTCGGTTGCCCGTCGGAAACGCCGCCCAAACGCCGAAAGAAACGCCCGGACGGCGTCGAAAACGGACAGTTCTGACGGCGTCCCAGGCGTTTGAGGCGTCCTAGCCCGTTTTTGGCCTTTGTCAAGGCGTCCGTTGCCGCCGTTTACCGCCAGGGACGGGCAGCCGTCCCAAGCAAACGGCCACCACAAACGGGCGTTTAAACGGGCGTTTCTCCGTCGGGGACGCTTTCATTTTTACAGAGGGACTGCACTGATTGGTCAATTCGTTTGATCATCGGGTTACTACCATAATATTACCCCCCCCCCGCCCCCCCCGCACGGGGGCCGAACAACACACCCGTCTTACACCGCTCGCACAAAGTAGTCCCTGAAAACTATCACAATAACGTGTTAAAAATACTGAAATATTCTATATATAACGTTATAACAATTATGATACACAATACAATACAATCTACAATGCACATTGCATCTCTAAGAGCTTGCACAGCGGTCATTTTCTCAGTTTTCTGCCCCAGAGTACTAATATTTAGAAGGAGGCATCAGCTTTGCCTGGTAGCCAGACCATCGGGCGCTCCCCGGTATGTTTACGGTGCTGGGAGTGCTGCCCTCCCGCCCAGGCTATTTCGTACGCCCGGGGATTCTCACGGGGTTGGTTTCAGAGGACATATAGGGTGCCTATTGCTTAAAAGAAATTAGTAACGGACCTGGCAAACACAACCAAGCCTAATTTTCCCGGTTTGAAAGTGTAGTTAACGTACAACAGCCACCGGAGCGGGGGACGCTACGGGACTTTGCGCGGGCGAATCTGCCGCTGGTCCCGAGGACATAGCTGCTCTAACGCGGTGACGTTTTCGCCGTGAATTTCATGGAATTCATCACATAAAAGTCAGCCACTTGCACAGAATATGTTGGTCATGGCTAATTCAGTTGTCTGGCGTCTGTATTATCGAGTATTACAAGGAGGCGCCTTGGTTTTAGCCTGGTAATCATGCCATCGGGAGCTTCCCGGCATCTCTACGGCGCTGGGAGTGCCCCCCCTCCCGCCCGGCACATTAACGCACGTCGGGGCATTTTTACG